CCTTGAGACAGGGCCTCACTAATTGGCTGGGGCTGGCCTCAAACTTGGAATCTTCCTGCTTCAGGCTCCTGGGTTGCTGAGATGGGCCCAGTGATGCCCATTGCTGTGATGCTGGTGATTGTCTCCAGACTCTTTGGTGAACAACCAGCAGACAACACTTTTTAAGTGAAAATATGGCATGTGTTCATACTATTTTTATTTCAACTTTAAGAGTATTTTTTGCTTCTTGGATTTTATATTTGTYTCATCTCTCTTGTGCTAGAAGTTATGGTTCCTGATGATTTTGGCATCCTTACTCATTTGTTTAACCTGTAAAGTATTTGTTATTATTTTATAGCAGCAGTACCAATATATYACCAGCAATTGGATCACTGAAAATAGCCTAAGGTTTCTCTGCAGTTGTTCTTGTTCTTGGAGTAGATCCTTAGGGATGTGCTGCCAAAGTGTTGCTTTTTTAATCACTTGAACCAGTTCTTCACTATGTCATAAGCTGGTTACACCGATACATTTATTTCATTTTAATCTTAATTTTAAGGAAGAGCTTTTTAATTTTGTTACAGGTTCACAAAACATTTTTTATGGTCCCAAGTCAAAATAAAATTTTCAGAAATGTAGCTTCCATTCCTGACCTTTGGACCCTGTTTCCTCCCCCTCCTTAGGTAACTTTTAGTTTTTACTTTTCGGTRTTCTGTGTGTGTGGTTCCCGTTCTTAGGGACGTATGTCCTGAGGAGGGCAAAAGACTGTCCAGCAAGACTGCTCAGAGAAGAGAAAAGGGTTTGCATCAGGCCCTCAACAGCTCCTGTGTGTAAAYGCAGTTAGAAACAGGGCAGTCTGCAAAAGAGATTGAAGAACAGAGACAAGGCAGTGTTTTCTGAAATTTCGTGCCTTCTAAACCTTCTAAACAACTTAGACACTGGAAGCCACTCTACTACACCATGTTTTATGCTTTCCACTTCCACCTTCTAGTAAAGCTGACGCTCCCGAAGTGAGCATTGTTATTCCCTCAGCTTCCACTCACAGACCTTAGGCTCCAGCCCTGGGACAGGCGTGGCCTGGCCTGGAGAGGCTGCCTGCTCCTGGAGGCTGTGCGCGGAGTTTGCCCTCATCCTGCTCCTCCTTCCTGTCCAGAGGGCAAGACTCTGGCCCGGGGTGTCTGCACTAGTAAGGGTTGAGTGGAAGCTTTTTAAAAAGCTCGGAGTCACACAAACCAAGGGGTATTGGCCACAGAAGGCCTCAGTCCCTCATGTGCCTGGTTCTTCTCGTGTCAGCCTGGGCATGCTGTTCTGCCCTCTCCCTTGCCCCTCTTCTCTCAGGTCTTTGGATAAGCAGTCATGCTGTTTGTTTGGATGAGTCTCGTCTCCTCTGTGTTCCCAGTGCCTTTGCTGGGTGCCCTCTCCCACAGTGGAGCAAGCAGTTGGCACCAGGTGTGGTGAAAGGAGTCGGTGCGCTGAAATGCTCGCCTGCATCCTGCTCCCTGCAGCCTCGGCTTCGCTGGACACTTCTGAGCGCCCACTGCGCTTCACGTGGAGCTTGTTTTGACATGTGTATTTCTCACCCTTGCTTGCTGGCAGGAGCCATTTCCTTTGTTTATCTGATGCTTCCCTTTTTTGGTTTTCCCCGGGCTTTCCAGTTCTTGGAACATCCTTGTCAGCAGATGTACTTTTGTTTCCAGTTTCTGAGCTCCAATTAAAATATGGCGCAACTTCAATCACAGAAGCAGGGAGCATGAGGCAAGCCATTAGAGTAAAGGAGTGGCAAGGAAGGAGGCCGAACCCCGTCTACTGCTGCGTTTCCAAGTGTGATCTGGAGACTGAACTTCATGAGACCTTCCTCAGAAAATTAGAGCTTTCATTTAAATTAAAAAAAAAAAAAAAGCTTCAGAATAAAATAAATTCATGCCTGAAAATGCTGCATACGGTAAATCATCAGTGGAACAGTGCTGGTGCTCAGGGAGCTGCAGAGTCAGTTCCAGCACTAAGCAGCAGACCCGCCCTGGGGACCCCCACGGGGCTGCTCTCCAGGTGTGGGGAGCTCTAGCSGTAGTACAGTGCCCTTGTGTAACTTGCTCTCACGCTCCTTGCTTAGTGGATCTATTGTTGCTCTTCTGTAAATGTATGGGAACAAACATTGGTTTCCCACTTTATCCCCAGTAAGGACGAGAAGGTGAGACTACGCGGCAGTGGCTTGGATGCCTGTGGTGCATGTGTCGTGACACGCTTCTCAGAGGTGCTTGTGTTCAGTCACTGGGCATTGTAACCTTCAAGTTGCTTCCCTAAAGCATGCTGTCCARTGTTAGTTGATGTATCACTAAAAGTTGCCTCGTACACCATCTTTATGCATTTGACTGAATTTGCATTAAGTTTTCTTCATTAACACAATAATTATAAATATTATAGAATTTAACTAACTTATGATTACTTTAGGCTAAAAGTACAGTTTGACTATTTCTGAACTCAAGTATAAGCAAGTGAAATAAAGGCATTTGTGTTTAAATCAAGAAATCTAATCAGAGGTTTCCACAATCTCTGTTTTGGGAGGTTCCAAAGATTCAACTTGACTACTTCCTTTTTTAAAAATATATATTTGTTTAGTTGTAGTTGGACATAATACCTTTTTTTAAAAAAAATTATTTTTATGTGGTGCTGAGGATTGAACCCAGCACCTCGMATGTGCTAGGTGAGTGCTCTACCGCTGAGCCACAACCCCAGCCCTTTTTWAAAAAAAAATATTTTCTAGTTGTAGATGGACCAAAGGCCTTTACGTTAGTTGTTTATTATTATTTTTAATGTGGTGCTAAGGATCGAACCTAGTGCCTCACACATGCTAG